TAAAGTTTTTCCTCATAGAATGCTACACTAGACTACACATGATTCCAGCTCTTAACCAGATTCAAAACACTGCATTTTAACTCCTAATTCAAGATTTTTGGCTACATCATTCTAGATTTTGTCCATTCTTCACCAATACTTCCAGAAGTAGAGAAAATCCCTTTCAATCCTGCAATGATGCATCAAATTCTCACAGTATCATTTCTTATCAAATATTGGAAATCTAAAGTTAATTCCACATGAAAGCATTTTAATTCAATGGGAAATCACATTATTTAGTTGATCAAAATGTGGTTCATCATTTGGATATGTAAACAAGGAGATACAAATTTTCAAATTTGAGGCTAGAAACTTGGAAGTTCCAAAGTTTACCAAATGAATAGTAAAGTTCAATGAATAACTGTATGAATTGGCAAGAGATAAGTCAAGTTTGATATTTTTTTCCTTAAAGAGAATTGAAAATGCTTTGATTAGAATTTTAGAGCACCTTCATATAGTTTTTGTAGAGTTAGTTATGATTTTTTAAGGTTAGACATGTTATCTGGAAAAATGCACAGTGAACAGTACCTGAGGACTTAAAGGAAAATTTTAATTTTTGGGCCTACGTAAGGCTTCCGTATATTCAATTCGCTTCCGAACGCGTAGTCTAAGGGGTAAAAGTAAGAATGTTTCAAACACAATTCCATTAAACAACTCTTTGTAAAACCCTATCCTTTAACCTTGAATTTAGGGTTTAGCTTCATTATTTTTTACATAATTCCCATAGGTTTTTCCTACAAAATTTTTCATGTAGAATCCATATTTGAATATAGATTCATAAAAATCCAACTTCTTCCTTCCTTTTTCAGTTTGGCCCAAAGGATTCCCTAGGGTTCCAAAGATTCTAATTTCAATTTCAATGCTTCCAAACACATGTTCTCCACATATCCTTACACAAATTCACCTTTTAAACTCACTGAAAGCATCAAAACAACAAAAATCAAACCCTAGAACAGCATAATCACCTTGCCGAATAGTGCCTCCCAATCACACATGTTAAAATCTTTCAAATAACAAGGTTTAATCATCATAAAACAACCATTTCCTATCCTTTAATCCATGTATCAACTTAGAAAATCAAATACTAGATAGGATGGTCATACTTTTACCTTGATTAAAGACTTGAATCACCTTGTTTTTTGCCTTGTTCTTTCTCTCTTCCTTCTCTTCTCTTGCTTGGCCAAAACCTTCTACTTCCTAAGCTCTCAAAACTGGAAAAAAAATATGACCCAAGAGAAGAGGAGATGGTTATTATGAAACTACCCTAAGTCTTGATTATGTGGTAACCTAATTTACCATTGATTTTTACCATAGGACACTTGGCTCCATCTCTTCTCTTCTTCCCTTTTTCATGCACCATTTGTCCCCTTAGGTGCCTTTCCAATTGAATGAAGGTATCAGCTCATGAGACACATAAGCTCCGATGTGTAAAAATCTTCATATTTTATTCAAAACTCCAGTCTTCCAATTCTATCCTCCAACAAACTGTATTATTCCATTTAGGTCCTCACCCTCCTCAAATGGCACCATTTAGGTCAGAAAAATGGGGAAAAAATTGGCCCCACCATTCTTATGGTTATTACATTGTATAGTTTCACGATATCGGTTAAATTTTTCTTGGATCCTGTTAAATTTACTGTCTCTAAAAATTTATTTCCTCATTTTGATTAGGAGAGATTTCCCTAATTTTCTAAGATTTTATTTTACCCTATAACTTTTTGAATTGAATTTTTCCCTAAATAATTTGAGTTTTAAATAATTTAAAGGTAACCTCTATTTCTATAGAGGTTGGAAAAAATTTTCAAATTCATAATAACCTTTCAAATAATTTTTCTAATTTTTCCAAGAATTATTAAGGCCCCTATGTATTTTAAATAATTCAATTTGTTCAATTTTCCCCTTAATTAGCCAAAATTCTAGGAAAATACAGAAAATTTCAAAATAAATCATTTTCATCTTCCAAGCCTCAAATACTGTTCTGTACCCTTTATTCTATTTTTCATGATTTTATGGAAATTTTCTAGAATTTTGGGTATACTTTTCTACTCTGTTCATTATTGACCGCATATTTTGAAAATAACAAACTGGTCCCCAGTTTGGTTTTAGTTCAAAAGTTGTGTCATCTATTTGTTGGGTACTCTGCCTGACTGATGATCTATTTTATATTCCTCATTTTCAAGGTTAAAATTAATAGGATATGATATTTTTCCCCCTTAAAGTAAATTTCGTTCTCAAAATTTAAAAACTTAGCTCATTGAAATAGTTCTGGATACTTACCTTTGAATTTGTCTTCCTTTTTCCATGTTGCTTCTTCCTGTGTCATATTCTTCCAGATCACTTTTACCAGCAGAATTGTCATATCTTGTTAAGTTTAACCCTAGAAATGAGGAATATAAATTAGGCCATGGGTGAAGTAGAATAGCTAATAGAGAGATGGCATAAATTTTGAATTCAGATCAAACCAGAACGGATTGTTATTTCTGGAATATCTGGTCAATATTGAACAGATGGGAATATGGATTGAAAATTCCAGAAAATTTTCTAAAAATCATGAAAAGTAGAATAAACAATATAGAATAGTATTTGAAGTTTGGAAGATAAAAATAGGATGAAAATAATTTATTTTAGAATTTTCTATATTTTCTTGGAATTTTGACTAATTAAAGGAAAATTGGTCAAATTGAATTATTTAAAATATATAGGTATGTCAATAATTCATGAAAAAATTATAAATATTATTTGAAGGATTATTATGAATTTTATAATTGTTTTCAACCACCATAGATGTAGAGGTTAGCTTTAAATTATTTAAAGTTGGAAATTTTATCAGTAAAGGGCAGATTTCAGAGAAAATTCAATTGGATGAGTTATAGGCTACAATAAAATCTGAAAAAATTTAGGGAATCATTTCTCATTAATAGAAAGCTATTGATGCAAAGAAGTAAATTTTTGGAAACAGTGAATTCAATAGGATCCAAGAAAAATTCAACCGATTACGTGAAATTAGATAGTGTGTTAACCTTAAACTTAGTTGTCACATCCCACCAATTTTAACCTTCAGAATTTGAATAATAAATTAGAAAAAGGGTCAAGTAGAGGTTTTGGAACATCTCTTGAGTTGAAATCTGACTCTTGTTCGTACTGATATTTTTAAAATTATTAGTCTAGGAAGAGCAAAATTAGAAAAATTTCAAAAAAAATAGTAAAAAGATAAATTAGAGGTTTTAGAACCTCATTTGAGGCCTTGGAGGTGGAAATGGTATGAAAATAAAATTACAGAATTTTATGTAGACAAAGGTTTTCAAAAAACCAATGAACAAAAAACCGGACCGGACACTGAACCGGTCTAGATAGTGGGTCAAGGGTTAATGGGTCAAACCGGGGTCAAACCAGTTATATTAAAATAATATAATTTAATTAGCAATGACAATAAAAATAACATTCATTAATAATAATCATTTAACAAAATACAAAAAACAACCAACGTGGTTTAAAGTTTAAACATTTAATTGTACCAAACTATCATTAACAAATATATATTTTCATCACTATAGAAAATCAAAATCATCATTAAATTCATTGGCAGGACCAGGAATGGAGACATTAATAGTTGGAAGAGGAAAAGTAGAAGGAGTAGCAACATCATCTTGCAGAGGTGGAGGTTCAACAATATTCATATCATCATCACCACCTAAATAAGACAATAATAAAATGTCAATTAAGTGTAAATCAATATTAAAATAAAAATATTTATGACTTCTAAGAAACTAAGATGATAATACCTTCATTATCCCTCCCAGGAGTTGTCAAATTTGAAATGTCTTCATTGTTGAAAACACTTTCAAATGTCACTATATCTCTATCATCAAACTCTGGAACAGGATCTTCTTCAGTCACCTAAAAGTCCACCAAATCAATGTTTTCATAGTCAATAGGATCATAGCTTGCCTTTTGCTTCTTCAATATACTCCTGACAAATAAAATTTCGATTAGATGTAAATCTATATCAAAATAAAAGCAGCCATAATTTATAAAATTACCTATGCTTCAATCGCAAGTTATAGTTTGTGAAAACTAAATCATTTAGCCTCTTGTGCTCCAATCTATTTCTTCTTTTTGTATGAATGCATTCAAATAAACTCCAATTCCTTTCACAGCCAGAAGAAGAAGAAGTTTGACTAAGAATGCGCATTGCAACACGTTGCAACTCTGGCACTGAACATCCATAATATGTCCACCATTCATCTAAATCATGAAAATATGAAATATAAAATTAGTGAATGACCATCAATATACTATTAACTATTAAATACAAACACTTACAAGGGTCAAGTTTCTGTGCTGCTTTTTGACATGATGGTCTAGTAAAAGATTCTTTAGCTTCACGATAAGTAGTTGCTTATTTCATTACCAAGGAGCCATCAACCTCTTCGTCTGAAGTAAGACTCCACCACATCAATTAAAGCCATCATTAACTTTGACTTGATCGGGCAGTCTGGAGCATATGTGATTGTAGGATTCAGCAAATATGATGCTACATGAAGATTAGTCTTCAAATGCTTATCCCATCGAGTTTGAATGATTGTTGTGTACGGCTTATACAGGTCCTTGTTCTTCTTAAACATCTCCTTAATTGCCATTTTTGCCCTTCACATGCCTTCATAAACATAAGGCAATGAAGGCTTCTCATCTGAATCAACAATTCTCAACAATTTTATAAGAGGAGATACAATTTTCACAACTTGATAACAATCATTCCAAAACCGATTGTCCAATATGATTACACTGGAATTTTTTCCTGCTTTAGTCCTTGATAATTTGTGGTCCACAAAGTGATTATCAACAACTAAAGCCTGCAAGTCATTCTTGTGCATATATATCCTATGCAATGTAATAAATGTGGTAGCAAACCTTGTGGCACCAGGACGCACAATTTCTTTCCAAGTCGGTCTTTTCCTCAGTCATGATAAGAAAACCATATGATTATATGCAAATACAGTTATCTTTGATGCCTTTGATGCAAGGTTTGACACATGAGGCATGCTTGAAAAGTCTTTCAATACAAGATTCAAATAATGTGCAGCACAAGATGACCAATAAATACTTTTATACTTCTCTTTAATCAATCTACCACATGCTACATAGTTAGCTGCATTGTCAGTCACCATATGAACAATATTTTTAGGACCAATCCACTCAATGACTTCACAGAATAGTGTGAATAGAGTTTTGGCATCTTTAACTAGATCTGATGTATCAACAGACTTCACAAATACCATACCATGTGTAGAATACACTAAGAAGTTTATCAAAGTACACTGTTTAACATCAGTCCATCCATCAGCTATGAGTGTGCAACCATTGTTTTTCCATTTAGCTTGATGGCTATCAATGAGTAACTGACATTCTTTTCTCCAGTCACTCAACAAGTTGGTTTTAAAATCATTAGCACTAGGAGCTTTAAACCCATGCCCTATTGAAGCAATGCCATCCACAGCTTTTTGAAACAAAGGACAATCAAACGCCTTAAACGGAATGCAGTTTACAATAGCCCATTCAGCAGTCAACATTTTCACATTATGCTTTGCTTCTTTAGTTGCTAATGCACTCTTAATGCCAGGTTGGGAATCAGGAGTTGTCCTAGGAGCAAAGAAATTGTCTATGCTCCCAAAAGCTTTCCTCTTTCTCACACTACTTGTAACATTTGGTGATTCAACATGAGTTTCTTTGACTTCCTCTTCTATGTTTTCAATAGTTTTCTTCTTTGACCATTCTTTTAAAGACTCTGCCATTCTATAACGTACATCATGTGGAACTTTTTTACAAGCAGCTATTTGACCAACAGTGCCAGCAAGATGTTGCTTCATCCTATTTATCCCACCTCCTCTATAACTATTAGTACAAAAAAGACATGTATATATATATATATTTTGTGTTCCTTCTTTTTTGTACGCAATATGTGCCCATGCTGGATCAATTTTGGCACGTAATGAGGATATGGGTGTGGAGGTTTCGGTAGGGGGATTTGAAGATCCAGTATTAGGAGTCATGTTGTCATTTCCAGAACTTTGGTTATTTGAAATATCCATCACTGCTACTAAAAAAACAAATCAAAAGCTTAACACAACATTAATGATTAAACAATCAAGTTATTCAGTTTCAGATTTCATATTGAACAAAGTGGGGAACCGTCCATAGTTTTAAAACTGAAAACATATTCAAACTTCACTACTTCAGTATATAACTATATACAATGACCACAATTTTAAACCAAACAAGCAATTCTAAACTAGAGTATCAAATTATTCCAAAGTACCAAATTAATGAAATTATTCCTTCGTGCAAACCAAACATAGAATATCCTCAAGCAAAAATACAAATCCATGGAATCCATTGATGGGTTCAGATTTCAGAATACAATTAATTTTCACAGAATATCCTCAAGCAGAAGCAGAATTCAGATTCCATAATGGCAAAATCACACTAGAAAAATAATAGATGGCAGAGATTATCACCGTCACTTCCAAGTTCAAACGAAAATAGGTGAGTTTGCTGAGAGTGGCTGAGAGCAGAGACTGAGAGTTCAAACAAAAATTGGGAGTCTGTACTTGGGAGAACTAAGATCGACAAGCACTCAGCCACTCACTAACAACTTAGATCGGCAATGACAGGGCGGGGAGCTTCAGGCGAGGCGACGACAGGGCACCGACCAGCTTTAGGCTAGGCAGGGGACGACGGTCGACGACCACATCAAGAGTGAGGGCAGTCAAGAGTGTGAGCTTCAGCGAGCTGGGAGATTCAGTGAGCACACGGTGGTGAGATTCAGTGAGCTGGGACAGAGGACGGGGCAGTGAGCACACAACGACAAGATTCAGTGAGCTGGGACCGAGGACGGGGAAGTAAGCACACAACGGCTACGAGGGTGACCGAGGACGAGACGGAGATTGGAGACCAAATGAGGAAGAAGGAGACAGGGGTGCGAGGTCGAGCGAGGCTGCGATGCGATGCAAGGGCGAGCCGGTTTTGGATTCAGTTTGCATTTTAAAAAAAAAAATAAAACGTCATCGTTTTTGGGCTCTGGAGGGGGCAAATCAGTGAACCAAATAAACCCCTAAACCGGCGATTTACCCGGTTTAACACTGATTCTTACCGATTCAAACCTTGGCCGGTTCTTGCCTTAACCCAGACTGGACATCAGGTCGGTTCACCAGTTGAACCGACTGGTCCGGTCTGGTTTTTTTTTCCATGCAAAAAACAGTAAAAAAATTAGCCCGAAATAATTATTTTAAATATACAGAGGCCTCAATAATTCCAGAAAAAATATGACAGAATTATTTAAGGATTTATTTGAGTTCATAAAATTATTTTTGGGCCCTAAAAGTGTCACACCTCCTTTAATATCCCATTATATGTTAATTGGAACCATTAGAATGTGTTTCGTAGCATTTCCGGATGAAAAATCTCAATTTCAAAATTTCACCTTTAATTCTATCCATGCATTGTTCATCTGAATTTGTGCCAACTTTTAAAATTCATAACTAATTCTAGAAAAATTGGAATAAGGTGGTTGCAACTTTCAGATGAAGCTTGCTAAGAGTTCTATAGAGGAAAAATATTTATTGGACTCAATTCCATCTAGAAAAACACCAGAAAATTCGACAAGTTGTACTGTTCATTTGGTCAATTTTTCAATTCAGTATTTTTGCCCCACTTTGGAAGGGCATAACTTTTGGCACAAAACTCCAAATTTTATAGTTTACCACTTGATTTAAAGATAAAATTGAGATCTATAAGTCTGTAAAATTTCATGCCTAAATTACAACAATTGCTTATTATTTCATGTGCCACAAAATTAGCACTATTTAGGGAGATTTTATCCCCTAATTCCACTTTCTTTAATTCTTTTTCCTTCTTTTATCCACATCCTTTTGGCATTATACCATTCAAATTTCCAACACCAGGGCATGTCATTTAAACATAATTTACATCACATTAACATTCATACTCCATTACAAATTAACATTAAACTCATTAAAACAGCACACAACTTTCCAAAATGTCATGAATTCTCTATTGCTCCTTCATCCCAAAACCATTTTCTTGCCCTTGCCATCGGATGAATCATTCCCTATTTGAGACATAATTTAACATAGGGGGAGTGAGATTTCAAAGAAATCTCAGTAGCTTATGAATTATAATTGTCATGTAAATCAAGCAAGTTCACATGTGACATGTTATATCATGCAAAAATATTCCCACACATAGGAAATCATATCCAATAGCATGCAAGGAGAGGAACATTAACATTTCCCATATTGGCATACCACAATGCAATTGGCCAAAGCATAAACCAATGTCATTCAATCAACCAAAAGCATAACACAAGTTCGTCCAACCCAAGTAATCAAGAAATCACATTAAACAAGCAAGATAAACAATCAAATTATAATTCAAAGCTACCTTAGAAATTCAAGGCATATGAAGAGGGACACATGGCATGAGCTGAAATTTAAGACATATGAAGAGGGACACATGTCCCCTTATGTGGCAGAAAACAGCACCATTTTGGAGGGATTATGCCAGATCTTGAGCTCTATAAATACCCCCTAATTACACATAATTCGGCTAAAAATAAGAAAAAGAGGGAAATTTTTGTCCAATTAAAATCTCACCCTTAAATAGCACATAAAACCTTCCAAATCAAGGGAAAATCATCAAGCTTCAAGCAAGGATCCATTAAAGTATGTCTAAGCATGATTTTGGCTTGATTTAATGGTTATTTTGGTTGAAATTTCATGACAAATCCTAAGCTTTAATGCTATCCATTTTTGGTCACAATGAGAAGGAATTAGGGAAGGATAGAAACCATGAATATGAGCTTGAAATAGCATTTTAATTGATGTTTAAATTGACCTTTGGAAGAAAACCAAAGTTAGGGTTTAATGCATACATTTTTATTAACTCAAGTTCTTGAAATTAGAGATTGTTTCAATGTCCTGTGATGATTCTAATGAGTTTAAAAGGTGTTTTTGTGTAGGGAAACACCAAGAAAAAGTGTTTAAAATTATTGGAATCAAAAATGAAAATTTTGGACCCTAAAACTATCCTATTCAGCCAAATCAGTTTGACGGGGGAGGAGTGTGATTTTGTTAAATCTGATTTGATATTTGGATTCTACATGAAAAATTGTGTAGGAATGATCCAAGAGATAGGTTGAAACAAAATGAAATAATTATGTCAAAAATCAAAGAATAAAGGGTTTAAATGAGTTTATTGTTGAGCAATGGTGTTTATGCTTGGATTATTGGTAATATGGAATGTGTTTATGCTTGAATTGATGGACATTGTGCAAGAAAACAAAGAGGAGCACCAAAAACCTAAGGAGGCCGAATTACATACCTAATTAAGAGATAGCATTGAACTCATAATTTGATTACTTTCTTGCTTGCCTAAATGTGTTTATGTTACTTGATTTATGTTGCCATGATGTGATTGAGCAAGCTATGTGATTGCATGTGAATTTCTAGGTCAAACGTGCCTTGGTAATATGTAGTGTGGAATGGCATAATGGTTGATGTATGGCTCTCTTTTCATGGCAAATGTAATGCATATGAAATGTTGCATGATAACTTTACTTTTAATGTAACATGTCACATTTTGCATAGCATAATAAGCATGATAATTGTGACTTATTGCTACTGAGACTTCTATAAAATCTCATTCCTCTCTATGTATAACAACTAATAAGACTCTCAAGTGGTGTGACCAAGGACAAGGAGGTGATATTTCCATGAAGGAAACATGTTATAGAATTATATTGAATTTATGTTGAACATTATGTATAAGCTTTGTAATATTTATGACTATGTGTTGATGACTTGTAAGGGTTGTAAATTATGAAGAATAACTTATTATATGCTCTAATATATGGTTGAACTATGTTGGAATGGTTGTGGTTTCATTTGGTTAAGTTTTGGCATGAAAAGGATAAAAGTTGTCTTTTTAAGGACAAAGTTTAACCATACAAAAATTTAAGCAAATGATGGAGTTTGGAGCTAAAACTTAACAATCTAATAGATCATATTGTTAGTTTCAAAACAAGTGGTATTTCATAAAATTTAGACTTTACAAAAAGTTATTCCCTTTCGAAGTTGGGCATAAATTCTAAAAAATTAAAAAAATGACCAAATGAAGAGTACATGTTGAGTGAAAACTGGGCACAGCTAGATTTATACTCTATTTTTCATTAAAGAGCTCATTGCAAGCTTCAAGTAGGACTTGGAGCCATATTATTTCAATTTTTTTAGAATTAGTTATAATTTTTCAAAATTGGGAGAAATTAAGGTTACAATGAATAGTAACCTGGGAAAAGAAATTTAAAAATTCAAATTTTCCCAACTTAATGACTGGAGAAATGGTTCCAAATACTCCTACTTGATGTGAAATTAGGTAATAAAGTAAAGTGTAATATTTTTGGTATCAAAGCGAAGGTTCTGGCAAGTGTGAGCATGCTCTAATTATGTGATAAGATTGTTATGAACAAAGGTTCTGGACTACTAATTGATTGACTGATTGTTGTGCTAGCATAATATGGCATAATATCCCACTGTATTGCACTATATTGTACTATGTGCCTAGTATTATATTGTTTGTTTGGTTTGCCGTGTTTTGAGGAAAGAGCAGAAACTAGAAAGCATGGCATGTTGTGAAAGCAATTACTCAGTGGAAACCATTAACTAGAGAATGCTTAGGGAGCCATACCCAGACTGGTATCAACCACTGGTAGAAGATCCTGATGATCCTGCTCCTCTACCAAGGTATTACCATTTGCTTAGTGAGATTGAGGATATTCATTCCAGAGTGGGCT